AAAAAATACAAATGCAAATATTTAGTAAACTTGCACAAGAGTAAAGTAAGAACTCTAGAAGTCATTTGTAGGGATTGATGACCAGAAGTGAAGAGGTACTTAAGTGAATTGAAGAGCACCAAATGCCACTAATTGCAATGAAACACTGGTGGTAACTCGGTACAAACGAACGAGTGGACAACGTATAAGAAGAAGAGAGAAAGAGAGATCAAGGTGATCATTTGGCAAGCCATTATGCGATGACGGAAAACAAGCGAAGGGGCCGAGCCAGATGACACTGTGATGATGAATTGAACAGATCAAATAAAGGAGCAGGAAAAGGAAACCAAAAGACGAAGAGATGCATGGCCGGGCAGAGAGGCAGAGAAGGGGCGAGAGAGGACATTGAGCGGTGAACAGCCGGAGACGGACGGAGTAAATTGCTTCTGCTCTACGCTTCGCTCCACACCACTGAGCCCTCCATGTGACAATGCAAATGCTGCCGACGTCGGCGGTTACACCCCCTACTGCAGACAACAGCAGACACTCAGACCGACCGACCGACCGACCGTCCAACACTGACTGCTCATCACAGTGGCAGAAGCACTAATGGCGTTAGGTAATCTCGTCGTAATTAAATTCAACATGCCCAACACTAATTACTGCTATGTAAGTCGATTCACTCTGTCTAATGTCACTCTCTGCCAGTGACTGTGTCTGGTTCCTCTGTGTCTGGTTCGTTGCATGTCTTCTTGCTTTTCGGCCTTCAATGACTGGACTCCAGAGAAAGCAGAAGCCAGTTTAAAGTGTCCCATCGACAAAGGTGCACCGTTTTGATGGCCAACACAACACTCACTCACAGGAGCTCGTCAGTCCAGCTGTGCCCATCTTTAAAGACATCAAGGAATCGCATTCGTGCGAGTAATACGTCTTTGTGTGCACTCATTCGACGCGGCAGGTAAATGAACGCAAGCCCAACTTTGATTTTCTCACAATGCCAACTTTTTTTTAAAGAAGTTGAACCAAATGGAGTGAAGTCGAAAAAACATGAAACAAAACAGATTAATTTAATGAAAATGAAAGTCTAATATTTTTAGACCGTGTTGAATCAGTGTATGGGTGCACGGCGTTAAGAAAGTCTAGAGAATGTGTCAAGGCTATCTGAGGGAATGCATCTGTAGGCATTGACCATTCGCTGTTCGCTACCACTACTTGTCCATAACAATGCCCAAGAAAGATTGTTCTATTATGATTTTCTGCAAAAGTAGTAATGGCAATCACATTGCAAACTGGTTCTGCACTTGGAAATTTGCCTCCTTCAGTTGGCGAGTAGATCGAGAATTCTCATTCTCGCTGCGGCTGGTGATTGGCTGGCATGCCGCAGAAACCTCATTCATGGCTGCAGTCGCCGTTCGGCGCTACATCCATCCAGTGCCGGCCTCAGCACAAAAGGCACTTTGCAGTGCACTTTTTGATTGTGCACAAAAGTTATATAATCAAAAATAATAGCATGATAATAGCAATGGCAATGGTAAATGGTCAATTGCATGTCTTCTACCACGAAGAATAGACGAAAATATTCCGACCGAGTAGAGGCAGCATGATTGGGACTGATGTTGCTGCTGTTGGCAGTGGCGGTGGTGGTGATGACTGTGGGAGAGTGCCTCCATCTGAGCGGACATCACCTCAGTCCTGGCGGCGAGCAGGCAGTGTGGCAAGTACCCTGACAGCACCTGATCGGCTTTCCCTTGCACTGGCCAGGCCAATGATGGTCAATGTCTCTGTCATCGGCGCTCTCTCTGCACCGATCGGATGGCGTTGTCATTCAGTGCCAGTTCGCCAGTGTGTGCTCCAAATTGCCGCGGCAGTTCAAATAATAAGGAGCTCTATCATTAGCGACACCGATCTCATTGGCACACGGGCCACGCCGGGTAGTGCCCTATGTCTCTATGAGTGTGTGTGCAGGAAGTGCTGTGGTGGCAGTGGGCCAGTGACCGAATGTTTGCTGCAGCAGATCGGCGACAGAGCTGGCTGACAGCGACCAGTCGCCATTCTCATTACCGTGCTATTGACTCAAGCTATTGACTGTCACACTGGCAGGTACAGTTAATAGATGTATTTGCAGTCAATTAAAAGTAATGACAATAGACAAATAATGCAAATTGATTCTCTGACAGCGTAGTGGCAGCGGGGCAGTGTGTGTATACTTGAGGAAAAGTGACTTTGCACCATCGGTGCTCTGCTGACAAACAGCGTTGGCCAGTGTCTGCAGTCATCTCAATCGTTCATTACGCTCTTGTTGTCATCCTTGGCATCGACGTTGCTCGAGCACAGGAAAACCAGCGAGCCAGTGAAGGAACAGCCACAGAACGGCAGCTACAGTAGAGCAGCACTGTGCAGCATATGCAGGCACACAGCAATCAAGATAAAAAATGGAATAGAAAAAAGTGCTGCTAGGTGTAGTGTCGCCAGAGAGTGGAGCCGCTGCTGAGAAAGCCGGCTGTGTTTGAATGACAATGCACTTTAGGGCAGAAGGATGGCCAGCAGCTTCCTTGCCGATTCAATGTCGACTTCAAGACAGACCACGACAACGACCACGACCACGGCCACGACCGGCACTGCTGCAACAACAAGGAGACGACTAGTGAAACTGACGAAGTGATGTTACCACTAATGGCCCGTGGCAGTGAGCTGCTTTGCAAGAGAAGCAAGTCAGCTAATCAGCAATGAGAGAGGAAGTGCCCGCTCAAGGACAAGCTATTTTTCCCCTCTCTGTCTACTTCAACTGAACCTTTTGTAGCGACCTTTCGAGCACAGGCGGTGCATTTCGTAATGAGCTGATGATGCTGGTGATGTGCGCCGTGTGTTCTCTGTGCTCATCACTTTTCAACAAAGGTGAATGTGTCGAATTGAATCGGCACCTTAACATTTGCAGTGCAAATAAAAACAGAATTTAAGACGAAGCATTGCGTCATATAAAAAGAAGGCTGATCATGTGTCCACGCTAACATCATTTGCACGCCACTGCCACTTGTGCGATTCGACAATTAAAAAGCTCATATTTCAAGTAACATCGGCAATGAGGAGAAGACATGCTGTCTGTAGACTGTCTAAATCGAAAGTAAACAGACAGGACAGTAAGCAGACCTCGTGGAGAGAGAGAAAGAGAAAGAGAGAGAGAGAGAGTATTGAGAGGCAAAGACGCACCGTGCAGCAGAACGGACAGGTGCGGTTGTCGAGTGCGATTGAACAGATAGATAGGTGGGAGCGTCGGCGTCGGCGTCGGCGACAATTGCGGACACATTAAGCAGGGTCCTGGAGCAGATGACAGTGATATTGACAGTGTGCTAGCGTGTGGGCCGCAGTGATGTCCACTGACTGAATGAATGAGTGTGTGTGGCACTGTTGAACTAAACCGGTGCTGCGTTGAAGGGCGACTAGGTGTGCACACACCGGAAGAGTGCTCTCTGCCGCTGAGGGTAGTGCGCGCAGAGGTGAAGTGCGGGCCACTGGGCAATTGGCACCACCGGCCGACGGTGAGGGTGACAGTGACGATGACGGTGACGGTGCTGCTGGACTGGCGAATGGAGCATGGAGGAAGCATTGCCAACTATCGTCAACCGGCGCTTTGCTGCCAGCCACTGCGGTGCACTGACGAGGTAGAGAGCGTGTGTGTGTGTGAGTGTGTGTGTTTCAGCTGCGCTGGTCGTTGTGCACTCGATCGAGTCGGACTGTGAATGGCAGGCCGCCTGCAATTCGCTGGTCGCAGACTGGGCTGTGCACGCGCAGGGAGGATCCTGTATGGAGTGTGTGCAGCTTACCTGATATTACCTCAGAGTAGTGCTACTCTCCGTCTACTCCGTCTGCAGGTAACAGCTGCCTCGGCTGCCCTTAACTGTGCTATTATCGTCAGCATCACAAAGCGAGAGAGTCAAACTAACTTCGAAGACAAAAACGAACGTTGTCTACCATTGTCTGCCAGTCCTTTCTGTCTGTCTACTACTACTACTCTCTCTCTCCCTCTCTCAATCTCGCCCGTACTCTTCTCGCGTGGCTCGTTCGCTGCGCGCGCTGCGGCGTGTGTGATTTCAAGTGTGTCCTTTCTTTAATTTCATTCGCAGTCTGTTCATGGAAAAAGTCGATTATTTTCTGACGATTTTGTTTTCTTCTTGTTACAGCAGTCTCTTCCCTACAACCAGAGTTCCCTCACTCAGGCACTGAACAGCAGTAGCCAAGTGAACAAACACACACGCACCACTGCTCGTGTGCATCTTCGATCACCAGAGTCGCTGTTCTCAGCGGCTGCTGCTGCTGCTTCTGATCAGTACTCTAATCACAATGACAATGACAATGTCAATACTGAAGTGAGCTGACCAGGTCGCACTTCATCGGCGGCGAGGCACTCACTCACTCACTCTCTGACTGACTGGCAGAATCGCTGACTCACTCAACTGCCCACCACTGAGTGGTTACATTAATCGGTGGCGTTGGTGGCCACCCCCTCCGTCGACAATGATCACTGTGTCGCCGAAATGGCGCCTAGCGCAAGTGCACGTGCTGGACAGTGCAGTGGAGAGGACAATCAGTGCTTGAAGGAGCACCGGCAGCATCCATAGGCTGACAAGGCAGTAGCAGTGGCTACCTCAGTAGCACTCATCTCTGTAGTCCACTCGCTGGACACTCATTAGCAGAGAACACTGGCAAGAGGCAATTTCATTTTTAACATTTCTCACGACAGCATGCATTGGGCATTCAGAGAACGCTAGCAATTGCAAGTTGTAGCCGGTTAAACTTAAATGGTGACAGACACCTTACGTCAATGAGCTAATCGTTTTGGCCAGTTTTGCAAAGTGCGCACCTACAAATTGCCATTTCATATTGTTTTACCAACAACATTTTGTCATCTCTTAAAAAGAAAACATTTGTTCATTTAGTGAGTTATTGATTTTCAGCCGACGAGTTACTAGGCTATTAAAATGAGTATTTAAAGACAGACGAAAACTTTATTCAAGTAATTGTTTTCAATCAGTCATGTTAGGGTTGGTGTATTCAAAGTCAGCAAAATTATCACTTGGAGTACAACCTCCGACGTTAAAAAAGTTTCGCTTTTCGGCAGTAAATGCTTCCTCGAAATGTGAAGTATCACGGGGAGAGTTCTGCAAAAAGAGAATGTGTATAATGGTTAGTAGGAGAAGAGCAGGCAGGTGGTCTGACTGTGTGTATATTCGAGGGTTACCAACCGTCATTGGAACGAATGGGGGGCACAGTCGGCCATGCTCTGCTTCCAGCCAGTCAACACCTGCAAAAAAGGTGTGCTCGGTAATTTTTCCATGAACAGAATTGGGCATTCCAAGTCTTTCTTCGGCATTTTTAACCAGTAACTGTCAAAAAATGATTGAGATGTAAAATTGGCAAACAGAGCAAATGAACTTACTTGGCTAATAATCTTTTGAAGCTCTTGTGAAAGGAAACACGGAAAGGTTACATTAAGGTTACATATTGACCAGCAAATTTCATCTTCATCAGTTCCTAAGTAATTAAATTAAAGTTTAAAATTTTGATATACCAATGATATTTATAAATACCAGTAAATGGCTGTCCGCCAACACTCATTTCAAAAGCGACAATCCCTAAACTCCAATAGTCGACGGACTGATTATATCGGTGGCCTTTGATAACCTAACGGTCGAGAAGTCTGGTTAGCAAATATGAAACATTGTATCAGACATGATAACTTACTTCAGGTGCCATGTACTCTAATGTCCCACAAAAATCTGAAGGCATAAACTCTTGCCGATATACTTTTCCAAGGCACATTCCAAAATCGACCAGTTTTATGTGCCCCTAAAAAGTCGAGTGAAAAAATTGTAAAAATAAACAAACAGACAAAATACTTACGTTTGAGAAAATCATCACATTGTCTAATTTAAGATCTCTAAAAATTGTTTTTGTTAGTGGTTGACAGTTTTGTCAGATACCTCTACCTGTAGATGAAGCCGAGTCTGTGAAGGAATCTGATTGCGCAAAGGATTTCAACCAGGTAAAATCTAAAAAATATAAACATTTGACCTGAAATTAAACAAATAAAGCAAGATTACTTACCTCATTTTGTCAATTGAAAACCGTTTTTCACGATCAAGGTGAAATCTGAGATCGCCACCACAGCAAAACTCCATTGCGAAGCAAAGATGTCTCTGAAAAAGTGAGAGCAAAATTAATTAGATAGTAAATAAATAGACATAACTTACTGTTGTTTGGAAAGCGCAAAAAAGTCTGCAAATAAATGGGTTTTTATTTCCGTAAAGCATCATTTTCTTTTCCATTAAAACTGCTTCATAATCATTTTGCTCTTCGATTCGTCGTTTCTCCATAAACTTGACTGCAAAGTAGGCATTGTGGCCAACCAACTTGCACAGGTACACCTAGATATAACGACTTCTCAGTAAAGGGTAAAAGTTAAAAACACAAAAGCAATACCATTCCAAAGCCTCCAGTGCCAACAAGAGTTAGCGGTTTAAAGTCTTGAACATCATAGCGACGGAATCGAATTTTTGTTGGTTCATTGGGATCAATTGGTTCATCCTCCAGTGGACACAACAGCTCCTGTATCACTGGCTCGGTAACAGTGGCGGCCTTCTTCTTCCTGGTCTTCTTCACTGGCTTATCACTGGTAGTCCCTGAGGCCGACGCTGAAGGTGAGATGTTGTTGTACAGATGAGTGAAAAGTGGTCACATGCACAGAAAGGTGCTCACACAAACCTTTAACCTTCTTCTTCTTCTTTTTGATAGTTGTTTTCGCAGGCGCCTCTGTGGCGGCGACCGAGCAGTCGGCCGGACCTGCTGGAGCTGCGGTGGTCAATCGGGCAAACTGTGTTTCGACTGCGACGATCACATCCGGGCAGAGGACCGCGGCACTGGCACTCATCGCCATCATTAGGTATCACCGGCGCGTTCTGTGTGATTGCGCGCGCCGAGTGTTTGCACCGAAGTCGCTAGTCAGTGCAGAGCAGTCTCTCTCTCCCTCTCTCTCTCTCTCTCTCTCTCTCTCTCTCTCTTGCTGGTGCACAAGCTTCTCTCTTGTAGTTCTTTAACCTCATTCGCGATGATTTCTTCTGCAAAATCGCCTGCTTCACTTCCAGGTCGACCGAGTAAGAGAGAGAAAGAGCAGCAAGAGTGGCTTGTCGACTGGCGGAGACTGCCGCGAATATTCCCCAAATAGAGCAGCCACTGACAGGGCGATGATGGCAGGCAAGCACACCGAAAACTGAAAAAAAGAGAGACAGAGAAAAGCGCGGAAAGAGAAGAAATCGATTTATTCTGCTGGCAGACGGGGGAGAATGTACAGAACCGTCAACAGATTGAAATCAAACTGTGTTGACACAAGAAGACGCTGATGTAAAAAGTCAGTGTGGAGAATTCAGTCAGGCAGCGAAAATGCATGTGACGAAGTAGTCGTAGAACGTTAATAACAACTTAGCCTTCGCTTAACTCTTTGAATCGTGCCAAAGCAGTCCTCCGTACGGCATCTTTATATGATTCTCCTGCTCGACGAAGGTCAATAAGGTGAAAGTGACAATTTAATTTTAATTCGTCATATGCGGAACAATGCAAAGTACTCACTGGTGAATGTGGCATTGTTATTGCCCAGACCGAGGCCGCCTCTTCTTCTCTCCACTTGGATAATATCTGCAGTGCCTTGGTTTGACTTGCCAAGACCACTGCCTTCAGTCCAACCCATGGCTTTCAGCATCTTGCTGCCTACATTATCGTCGGTAATGGGTAGAGCCTGTGCTGACACAGTTTCAACTGGTTCTTTCATCTTTTCGAGCTTCTTCTTCGAGAACTCAGGAGTGTCATCAAAACCGAATTTCTCTCTCCTCTCCCTGGCTCTGTCTCTGTACCCCCGCTGGAAATAAAAAACACAATTATTTTAGCAACAAAGACATTTTCTAGTTAAAAATAGTTAACCTCCAACGTACCTCAACATTTTCCACATGTTGGAGTTGTTCTTCGGTCAAAATACTAGGATGTAGGGCGACCAAGTTTTGCTTGTGAAGACCGGAAAACTCTTTGTGCTTTTCAAGCTGCTCTTTGCTGCCAAACTGCCGCCTGCACAGATGACAAACTAAACGCTCCCAGTCGATTCGTTTATCTTCTTCAACGCGAATAATTTCAAATGGATCGACACTGATGGCGCTGACAATAGGGTCAGTGGCTGGTAATGTCAATTCAAGATTTGCCACCGGCTTTTCCAGCACAGAGGAGACTGTCTCGGTGATGGGTGAACTGCTGATGATGCCGCTGCCGCTGCCACCACTGAAGTTGATGCTCCCCATTGGCTCCATTGGCACCGTTTCAGCTTGTGGTATAGTTAGTGGCTTTGCAATTTCCTTCTTTTGATTTAATGTCTTGGCCCACTTTTCCATGTCTTTAGCAATCTTCTTGGCAGTTTTCACTTTATCTTGCTGCTTGCTAATATTGTCGTCGACAGAACTTTTTATGGCATCTACTTTTTGAGGTGTCGTGCTATTTACAGTCGGCGTCATATTTGTTGCCGTCGCCTGTCCAGCGCTGTCAACGCTGACATATATCTGGTTTGCCGAATCATAATACATGTACTTCTGTGTTTGCTGCATTTTAAAAAGTAAAAAATCATTGCAAATGATTGGTCATTGACTAGTAAGCAGAATTATACAAACCGAATTATAGAAATACTGGCTGCTGGAATCGTAGTAGAAACCCGTGGAAGCGTCATAGTAGTAGCCAGATGTAGCATCCAGTTGAAAAGACGCGTAGTTGGGTGTGGCGTGTTTTGGGTACTCTACGCCATTCACTGTGACGCTGCCAAGTGAAGCCGCCTTTTCTGAAGGTTGTTTGCCCTTTGAAGAGGAATCGTCCAGATTTTTCCATTGAGCTGCTGCGAGGGCGGCCATTGCAGCGTTCTGTGAGCCGAATGAACTGGCAGCCACCGAAGAGGTGTCGGCTCGTGGACCGTACGCCAGCGAAACAAGCGAGTCATCAATCACAAAGCCAGTGGTTAATGAGGAGATGACGTGAAAGAGTTGAGTAGCCTCCAACACACTGTGAAGCTCTAGAACGCACATGTTTTTCTGTGAAACTGGGTCTTGAGCAATACGAATTGACTTAATGGGCAACGAGGTCAGCGTTCCGATGATAGTGAGCACCCGTTCTTCTGTAGTGCTGGAGGACAGATTTCGAAGTTGTAGTACTGTCAAGGAAACACGAGTGCCACGGTGGAAGCAAGACAATTAATGATGAGATACGGTTTAGTTTGAGTATAGAGTGCATCATTGAGCTCTGGGGCAGAGTCAATGCTGCTATACCATTGGTAGGATGGTGAATCACTTCTGGCTTCTCAAAAATCCGAGGATCATCTTTACTGGTGCCGCATTTAAAGCACTCGTCACGACGTTTGAAGTTGTTAATTCCGCACTGCACATTGCACAAGAGAACAGTATAAGCATTAGGAGACTAACATTTCGAAAGCACTTGCAGCACCTTTGGACAAGACCAGTCGTTCTTAATAACATTCTTATCGGCAGCTGAGGCTTCTTTGGGAAAGCTAAAATGAAGTGAACATTCATATTCGTTTTCAATCACCATGCATCCCTGTGGCAAAATAAAGCAACAAAACTTTAAATTAAAAATCAATAGATCTTTTAGAAAGCGCTTACTTGAGTCAATTCTTTAAGTTGAACAGCGTGCTCAACAGTGGTAAATTCAATGAATGCGAATCCTCTTGATTGACCTAAATGAAATGTGAAACTTTTAATTAACAAACAGAAAATCAATACGACAAGTCTTACCAGTTTCCTTGTGCTTCATCAGACGGACGTCCTTCGGGTACAGGCCAAACTTGTTTATTTCCGAAGACACCTTAATTAGAACGGTTAGTCGACAGTCTTGATTACAGTACCAAGATCATTGTACATCTTTGTCAGTAAAGTGTAAGGGCAGATTGCGAATCATCAGTGTATTGTTGGGTACTTCTTTTTTCTCCCTCTGGCGATCTCGCTCTTCATGTCGGTTGTAATTTCTGTCAGCTTCATAGTGTTGTTCATAGTTCCGACTATCTCTATCACAGCTACGCGACCTGCTTCGAGATCTTCGCTCTCTTTCGCGAAAGTCTTTTCGGTGTTCATTTTGCGGGCGGTACTTTCGGTCCGAATGATCGTAGTCATCGCTCCTTGAGTAGCCGTCATCATTCCGATAGTCAGAAGACTGAAAGGCGTGTATGTATGTATAGATATAAAATCATTAGCATCACTGTAACAACACTGCTGTCGGTAAACCGCAATCATCGTTTTCCTGGCGCATCCTTGTGCACCTGCAGCTAAAACTTTCTCCTATGCTCATACCCGACGATCGTTTGAATATGAACGGTAGTTTCGTTGTCGGTCATTATCACGACCACGTTCATTGCGGTGACTGTTTTAAGAGATACAATGCAGGCGTTTTATTAGTATGACGTTTATTAGAGTAATGTTTGCTGTTGTTTTCCCACGCAGACCACCTTACCCTTCCTTGGACCAGTCATATTCCCTTTCTCCGCCGCCCATATTGCGAGTGAGAATTTGAGAAGATTTGTACCAATCACGCTTCTTGGAACGTATGTAAATATGTACGTCTCACAATCAGAGTACTTTGATTGAGCCACAACACTCTACCAGAAATTCACATAAAAAGAGACGTTCATAAATNTCTTTCTCCGCCGCCCATATTGCGTGTGAGAATTTGAGAAGATTTGTACCAATCACGCTTCTTGGAACGTATGTAAATATGTACGTCTCACAATCAGAGTACTTTTATTGAGCCACAACACTCTACCAGAAATTCACATAAAAAGAGACGTTCATAAATAAAATAATTTTGTCACTAATCAAGTGTAAGCTTTCTTACTGTTAAAAAATAGATTTACCAATGAGTTTTAACAATGGTGAATAGTTATTTAGAGCAAAATATTGGAATTTAAAAAAATAATGTTTTGAAAAATGCGCGATAAGCATGGTGCGCAAAAGAAAAATAAATAAAAAACTTAGTGCTAATGAGAACAGGAAGTTGATAAGCTAGCTAAATAAAATTGTCCAAACAAAACTCATTCAGTTCCAGAACCCAAGTTTTCTTCTAAACACACAATAAAGACTGCTGTACAATATCGTTACAATTTAAACTTTTTTCAAACTGCCAACAAAATATCCTGAGTGCATTTTCGAGAGAAAGAAAACTAAAAAGTGCTGATTATAAATCCTGCACATGATTGCACTGGCGGAGAATAATCGTGGAGTTCAGTAGCCTCTTTGAATAGTTAGAATCGGCGCCAAGAGCGACAAGAGCAGCGGTGACAGGGCTGCGAATATGATTCCGGTGGCAACCAGATAATGGTGAGATGTCGCACTACACAGAGATCAGCAGCACCAGCACCGGGAGCACTCTGGGTAGAGCAGTCAGTGCGGTGGCAGCAGCACAACAACTCCCTGCAGGCACTGAGCATTGTGGCGACTGGCACCCACAGGCGGCGGCACAACGACGACGACGACAGCGGCAGCTCTGTCCGCGAGTCAGTCATTCAGGCAGAGAGTTAGAGAGTCTGATTGCCCAGCGAGCACTGCTCATATGTCAACACACACCGCCGAACATCCTCGTCCAGTGCACTGCGGCAAGCCCTTCCACCTACCTCGCCCTTTCATTCTCAGCACCGTCAGCACCGCCGATCACACTGACACTCCCCCTAACCATGGCCAACGAAACTGATGAGCTTCAGATCTCCGACACTCAACGAGTAAGTGCCTCTGGCCGACACCCTCAGTGATCGACTTCTCCGCACTTCTGGGTGTGATCATCTGATGCTGTTCGCTTTCTTATCTCTCCTTTCTTTGCACCTGCTACTATTCTGATGTTGATAATTGATTTACAGCTTCGCATCGTTGCTGACTTCATCTTGCATGCCCCTCCTGGAGAATTCCGCGAAGTCTTCAATGGTAAAAAGTTCAAGAGAGAATGATTACCAAAAAATTAAAAGTACACTTTTATTTGGTTTTTAGATGTTCGTCACTTGCTCAACAACGACAATTTACTTAAAGACAAGGCGTTTAGGTTCGTTTTAGTGAAATGATCACTCTTTCAAGTAACTAACGACAGTTTTGTTGTAGCATATTTGGACAGTATCGCAAAGATCAGCTCACACCGGTGCAAGTTGATGGTTCAGAGGAGCTCGTGAGTTTTCTTACCTTGAACATTTCTAACCCTAAAACGTAACATTTGACACACTTACAGAGTCTCATCACTGAGTTCAACGAACTAAGTCCAAATCGATTTTACGATCCTAAATCACGAAAATCTTTCAAGTACGATTATCTGAGTGAGGAGTGTTCTGAATATCAACCTTGGGAGCCTGATCAAGTCAGCGAACCGTGGCGGGCTGCTCTAGAAGAAGTGTGGTCCAATTACTGTGCCGACCACTACTTCAATGGCATTAGTGCCGTCTTTTCAGCCACCAGTGGTGGACAGATTATCTTGAGCGCATGCAGTGAGGGCCACCAGTTTCAACCTCAAAACTTCTGGTAAATATTACTGGCTCTTTACTTGAATCATCTTATTTACAACTTTTAATTTATTTTACAAATCAGGAACGGACTATGGCGCTCAGTGTGGTCCATTAAGTTCACGCCGAATCAAGGCAAAGCTGAACTTCAGGGTAAAATCAAAGCTCAAGTTCACTACTACGAAAATGGAAACGTCCAACTTGTTAGCTACAAAGACGTGAACCAGTCCATCACAGTCACGGTATTTATGACACATTTTAACTTTGAAGGACACATTTTAACACCGATTATTTCTTAACTAGAATGAGAAACAGTTGGCTGAAAACATCAAACAAATTGTCGAAGAGACGGAGAACGACTACCAAGTCGCCATTTCAAAGAACTACCAAAACATGTCGGACACTACCTTCAAAGCTCTCCGACGAGCACTGCCTGTCACTCGATCTAAAATAGATTGGAACAAAATTATGAGTTACCGCATCGGTAATGAACTGAAACAAAATTAATTTTTCCTTACGCTACTGCAAAAGGCGCTTCTATTGACGAATGCCACCATTTTTCTATTTTTTATTTATATTCTTTAAAATTATTTTTGCAATGGCTAGTTAAATTCATTATTTTATTTTACATGATTTATAAATGAATTCATTTAAACAATAAAAGCGACAAGGCGTAGCAATGCACTGTAATGAATACTTACATCAAAACGACATCACCGGAGCTGTTGAGAATGTAGTGGCGTACTGATGAGTAGGGGAGGAAGTGTATAGAGTTTGGCTCCATCTTCACCGTGTCATGGTCTCCATTCTCACTGTCCACGATAACTTCAGTCTGCCGCAGGGCTTTCACAAAGACGTACGAGGTGCTGAATAGTTGGCTTTCGTCTTGTGGCAACTCCAACAGGCTGAAGGTGTGGGCTGCGTCTTGAATGGGAACGTTCATCTTGCCCAGAATAGTCTCCGAGAGGTACTTTTCACAGTTGACAAAGTAACTGTCCAGGTACTTGATCTCCCCAGCTGACATGAGCTTTTCCGCTCTCCTCGCGTCGCTTTTCAGCAGTTTGATCAGAGGTGTGCAGTTTTTCTCGATCTTCTGTATCCGTATCCGCAGGTAGCTGTTGACTGCATACTGAAGTCGGTCGATCTCTGATTTGTGTTGTTCGGTGCAGAATGTCTCTAGTTTGTCTTTGAATACTCGGATGTTCTCCACCATGTATTGAAGTTGCTCTATGATGCAGTCGACGGCACTGTCTTCATACTCCAGCAGTTCCGGGGATTCTTTCTCGTTGGATATAACTGCAAGCAGCTTTGCGTACACCTGCCGAAGAGACTCATATTCCATGGTCGAAGAGTTTGGAAGCGGTCGTTGTTTTGTATTTTGGGCGCAAACTGTTGCTGTTGTCTAGACTATATTCACACAGGCGCAACTTCAACACAAGCCGCATCACACAAGCTGTCTGTTCGGCACGTGCCTTCGATTTCTATAGGTAAACACAATCAGGATTCAATCAGTTCAGTGGTGCTCTTATCAGTTGTCAAAAGGGAACTTCTGCAGTTATCAATGCAAAGTTTTTTCTGTGATTTTTTCTTTAGATTATCATGATATTCCCATTTTGTCTGCTAAATAAACGCCAGTACTTTTCCATTTCTTTCACTTACAGTTCAGCTGAAGTGATTAACGACAATCAATATAACGGGACTACTAACTGCGATATCTAGTTGTCAACTGTACGCTATCTACCCTCTTTCATTTGTTGGTGTCCTCTAGTTGCTCTTTTCGACTTTTTACAGCAGCAGTACTTCACTGGCTGTCACTGAAGCACGCTTCACTCAACATGGCTTTTTTGAGCAAAATTCTTGCCGCGTTACTTTTGACGCCAATAGCTCTTCTCGCAGTGATGCTCTTTCGAGCGGAAGTGCTATTTCCAAGGTCTGGGGTAGATGGTGCCTGCAATAGCACACACAAACCCATTGCCGGAGATGAAATTGTCCACCGCTTCTCAAAATCGCTCACCTTTCAGACAATCACCAGAGGTTTACGAAACTACGATGGGCAACCTAGGCTGGAGTTTGCCCGCTTTTTGGCTCAAAGTAAGCTTACTTTCAAGTTTTCGGCTGTTAATCATTTCTCTCCACAACAGGCTTTCCCACCATTTACTCATCACCGTTTGTTACAGTAGAGACGGTAAACAATTACTCTCTACTGTATAGCATCAAAGGAAGCGATTCAACGCTGAAGCCCTATCTTCTGTGTTCTCATATGGATGTTGTACCGGTTGAGGCAGACAAGTGGGACGTTGACCCCTTTGGGGGCACTGTGAAGGATGGCTACATTTATGGAAGGGGCACTATTGATGTCAAAAATACGCTCATGGTACGCTTTTTGTATACTTTGCGGTTGGGTTTGATTAGACTAAAAACTCCTTTCAGTCAATCATGGAGTCACTGGAGTACTTGCTGAAAGGCGGCTTTAAGCCGAAGCGATCTTTTTACATTGCTTTTGGCCACGATGAAGAAGCTCAAGGTGTTGATGGCGCACAAGAGATTGCCAAAGTTTTTAAAGCTAGAGGAATAACTGAGTTTGAGTATCTTCTCGACGAAGGAATGCTTATATTTGATGGTGCATTTCCGGGAATCAAAGAATCAGTGGCAATTGTTGCCGTCGCGGAAAAAGGTTTGGTGGATATTTGTAGTGTTTGTTGACTAAGCTGCGTCTAACCGGAAACTGTTCATTCTGAAGGTTATCTGACATTGAAAATGAAGGCCACTGGACAAGTCGGTCACAGTTCGATGGCTCCTGATCAAACATCGATTACCACTTTAGCTAAAGCTCTCTCTAAGTAAGTGTCTAATTTCTCCATTATTTTGATAACGTTTTTGTTTATCGAATAAAGATTGACGGGAACTTCTCAAAGCAACCTTTTTGGCCTTGGCCCCGAGCGCGCCATGATGGAGGAGTTTGCTACGCATGCTGAATACCCATACAAATTGGTGTACAGCAACCTGTGGCTTTTTAGTCCAATAGTGTCACGAGTTTTATCATCAAATCCTAGCACTAATGGACTTGTTCGCACCACAACTGCAGTTACAGTCATTAACGGCGGTTTCAAGGTATTTTTCTTTTTATCAAATAGTTCACTAACATGGTTATTTATAAACTATAATGTGTTCTTCACCTTTAGGACAATGTCTTGCCTAGGTACTATGACTTTACCGCAAAAGATCATTAACGCAATCATTAAAACTTTACTGAACAAACTTTCACCCTTTTTCTAGCATGGCTGAAGCTTTTGTCAATCATCGTATTCACCCGATGCAAACAGTGGAAGAGGTCATCAACTACGACAGGCAGCTGATTAACGACGACAGTGTGGAGATCGAAATCGTAGGCGATGCTATTCCGCCTCATCCAATTTCCCCTTACGACGATGCTTCATTCGGATTTAATACTATTACCAAGTCAATTAGACAAGTTTTTCCCGACACCATTGCCGTAACGGGCTGCTTTGTGGCGTCCACCGACACAAGATGGTATTTGCCATTTACAAAGTCTGTTTATCGTTTTTCGCCGTCCATTATGCAAGGTATTGTCATGCTAAAGTTTCGTAAGCAAAAAATACTCACTTTTGTTATACAACTTTTCGAAAGGTGAAAAAGATACGTCAAGATTTCATGGTCACAATGAACGCATTTCAGTGGACAACTATCTAAAAACAGTCAATTTCTATCACCACATCATGCTCAATTCAGACATGAAAGAACTCGATTTGGGTCGACTTGCAAAAGACGAGCTTTAAACTTTCAATTAAAAATAAACTTTTTTCACTTAGTGCAACAAAAAACTTTCGTTTACAAGTTTGAAAAGTAGGATTTTTTATTTTAATGAAAGGTGACTATCGAATGCATTATGGCAAGGAGAAAAATAAGCACTTTTTAGTCGTTCGCGAGTTTGGATGAGCAGGTTGAGAACGTGAGAGAATGACTATGTCTGTGATTACCTATGTCGGTAGTTCATTTTGGGTGGTCCAGGGGGTGCAAAGTGAGTGTACGGTCCACTGTAGCGCTGGTTGACATCTCCTCCTGTGGACAGACAAACAAATGTTGCTCGGCGACTTAAAAAACACTGAATGACTTACCTCCAGCGGTGTTTTTCCACGGGCCCAAATGAGTGTCCTGCAGTGACTTGCAGCTGACCACAGGATTGCTGAGAAAGGAAGAGAAGAAAGAGCATGTTTCATTGCTGTCACTAAAGATGCCACTCAACGTACCTTTCACTCTCTCCGCGGAAGACATTCTTTTGCACGTATTCGATATCATCGGAATTGGCACAAATAATCTTGGCTAACGTCGTCTTTCTAAGTTCATATAGTTGCGCTAGAAGATAAATTGTTTTTAGAGTTGATCCACAAAACTGACTGCTGTTGCTGACAAACCTGGAGTGAATGAGCCTGCCTGGTAGCCGTGCTCAAACCAGAAACGATCTCCGTACTTGAGATTGTAAAACTGAATACCGATAATGCAAGTAAAAGTAGGGCCGACGGCAGCTCCGGGAAGGGGATACTCGGCCAGACCAGCCGAAAAGAGATCGATATCATGGACGTTTCTGCAACAAAAGGTCGGTTTTAGGAGACAAATGGCACAGTGGCAACAAAATCACTTACTTGTACAGGCCCTGAAATCGCTTTCTCTGCGAGGGCGGCATGTATTGGTCCAGCTGGTGCCACTCGTAAATTTTCTCATCAAAGCAAAACTTAAGATAGTCAGTGTAGCCTCGAATTCCGTGATCTCGACCGCGGTGAATGTTGAAAGCGGCCAAGTCCAAGCCGTAGGGATTGTCCTTTGGTCGGTACAGGTGGTTCTTCATGTCCGAAGTGATGAAGGGGTCTCGGTTCTGCGAAGCCTGGCTAATCAGTCCTCGAAGGACAGCGTCCAGCTGGCCCTCGTAGAAACCGAATGGGTTGAAGAAGAACTCGCGCAGTCGATAGCCCGAAGTTTTACCGTTTGGCATAATTTCCGCAAAAACACTGTTGACTAGAGAGTGGCCAAAGCGGAAGGCAGCCGAGGAGAACTCATTGATGACGCCAGCATTCGCGTACGGGTCATACTTGCTGTAACCCTTGTACTGCACATTCAACTTCAGGTACTTCATCGCGTCAGGGCCGAGGATCAGTGGGAGCCACTCTTTGTAGGTGATCGCCTGAATCTGGGCAATGACGATGCGTCTAAGCGGTAGGCAAACATATCGACACACGTTAAATTAGTGATTTAGTGCACCACTTCCCCAATAGCTTACTTTGCTTCCTGATAGAGAATCTCGCCATGCCAGTGCGGGTTGAGGTACTTGAGCTCATTGACGATTCGATTGTGCTGACGGACGAAAATAGTGTGCAGCGCAGTGAGGGCAGGATGCTGATTGGCTCGCTTGTCACCTGTTGACAGTGTCAGTAGTAGTAGTTGCCCAGTGGTGGCTGCAGTTGGCACTTACCGGCTTTGAAACAGAACATGTCTTGCTCTGGTTTAGAGCACTGATCATTGGTGGGCTCAGGAGACTGAGGCAACAGCTCCTTGCCATTGCGACCCATCGTTACGTGCATGCGACCTGCTGGGCCAGTGTTTGTCCACAAAGCCTTCGTTTCGTTCTCCATGCTGCCGTAAATCATTGAGCCGTCAATGTAGGCGGTGATTTGGTTCATCTGCTGTCTTGGGCCTTGAAACACCAGGTTGATAAGTGAACGAAACAAGGGAAATCAGTAAAGCAGTGCTTACCGAGTTTGCACTGGGGACACTTTGCAGTGCGCACAAAGTTCATGCAGTCCTCTTCGTATTTGGAGAAGAATGGATCCTCTTTGGGAATTCGAATCGGGTAGCACTGCTGGTGAGCGTTTGAGCCAAACGGACAGCACTGAATCATTTTGCCTTCCTCTGTAGGCAAAAAAATATAGTGTGTTTAAATGAGAGTGATCAGCCAGCACGGGCGCGCACATACTGGTTCGTGAGCTCGGAGTGAAGGTGATGTCGTGCGCAAAGAACTGTCCATACTGCATGACCATATGCGTGTAGGTGGCAGGGTAGTTGAGGTCTCGGTGGACGACGGCGGAGAGGACTCTCGGGTTGGGCAGCGGGTACCCGGTGATGGAGACACGTGGTGCCGACTGGCCGTCGGCGTAGGCGGGCGGCAGCAGGCGCTGGAAACAGGTGAAGGACTTGCCCCAGTTGGGGTAGCGCAGGTTGTTGCAGCTGCCGTCGGCGTTTCGGTATCGAGACGGTCGACAGTAGATGTGCTGCTCACTCTCGCAGTGGTCCACCGCAGCACGCGCCAGTGGCGAGTGCAGCTGAATGGAGCTCAGCGCCATGGCCGTCTCCGAGGCTTCGTAGGGGTCCAGGTTGGAGGTGAGGCTAGTGGTGGAGGGGAAGAGGGAGGCAAGCGGAGTAATCGTTGTTAGAGACTTTTAATCTCTCCGCAAGCACGGCAGTCACTGAAGGTGTCATTACTTTCTTAGCAGAATTTTACTCGTCTCCTCAAAAACCTCCTGTGAGTGGTCGAGTACGTTTCCGAGCGGCAGCGTAGTGGTCACTGACTGGTGTCGACTGGTCGCCGTTATTTGGCTCATGTTTGTCACGAAACCTAAAAATTAAATAAGTGGCAATGAAGGGCGATGGTAAGGACAGACACAGCGAACACTGCAGACGACGGTGGCACTGTCAACTGCAAGAGCGCCAGTTGAACGTACCATCTCTGACGAGATCATTTTCGTGTCGTGTATTCCTCGTCACCATGTCTTTGCCCAGTAAGAAGGCATTCTCAATTTCATTGTCGCTGAACTGCAGGTTCACCTTGGAACCGATTTGAGCGACAAGCCGCTTTGGCAGAAGCACATTCTCAGCGGCGGCAAAGTGGGCGCTGAGGAGACAGCTCACCAGCAGCAGCAGCAGACCGGTGGTGAGTGTGGGCGAGGAGAAGAGGAGTGAGGGCGACATTGGGGACATTGGCAGTTTGGCGAGCCACTCGGTGGCGGGGCTTTGGTGTGGGACGGTACTGTGCAGCAGAGCTCAGCAGGGAAAGGCCGACCAGAATGGGTTTTGGTAGTGAGGTGAAGAAGTAGTAGGGGCTAGCTTTTGGCGGACGATGCGGTCACAGTTGATCAGAACATGGTAGAGCCGCGGCACTGGCGACAACCTTTCCCGTGCAACCAACACACTGGGCACTGATACAAAAGAGATTTGGTCAGATGGCGATGACACCGAATAATGTTGGCAAGCAAAATTAAAATGCACAGTTATATGTTAGCGTGGTGAAGGACTACAGACTCGGACAGCTCTCCGGTGGCAAGTGGTAGGCACTCTTCGAGATCCTTTGACCGCAGCACTTGTTGTCGCGACTCTGAACGGCGGCCAAAGTGTGGTATCGGATGGGATAGTAGTGCCGTGCAGAGGTAGGTAAACATCGGACGAAGGAAGCTTTCGCGCGCGCCAGTTGCAGACAGCCCAAGTTGAAGACGAAGACGATCGCAGTGCAAGTTAAGAGAACGTTTAACGACAGCTATTTGGCCTAGTTTTGTCTTTCGCTCCAACCGAAACAAAATAACCTGCATCAGCATCGGCGCCAGTTGTCCAATAACTAGCCAACTTTCTCTCACCGACGTCCCTCTTCCCTATCGCTGGCGTTGCCTTATTTCTTTCTAATAGTTCGCTTCTGAGCGGCAGTCGACAGCAGTGGCGGCGGCGGCGGCGGCGGCGGCGTGTTCATCATTCAGGCGGCCCTATGCATGTTATATCCTTTGTAGTGTGAGGTGCCTATTTGCCAGCTAGTTGCCATCGCTAATGCCGAACGCGATCAGCTGTAGCCAGCAGCTCTTTTCGCCTTTGTCCGCCATGACGTCTGGCCCACAGAAGCGCAGGAGGCAGCAGTGCACGAAATCGATGCACTGCTGCCTGATCTTTCCCACTTGGAGAGAGCCATATGTCGCGCCTGAGACGACACACGGGCGCACATTCCCTCTCTTTCTCCTTCTCTCTTGCTCTTTTCTTCTCTCTCCTCCCTCTACTCTCCTTATCATCGGCAGAAGAGTCAGACCAAAGAGAAAGAGATTCCCGAAGAGGCGATTTCCGCATTGGGTGATCTGCATCGGCCCAAAATAAGCAAGACTGCTGAGTTGCGTGTCGAACGGTTGACATGGCACGCTTGGCAATGGCCACTTTGCCCTATACCGCTCTCCTCACCTGGCTGATGATCATTTGCATTATTAATGAACTATTAAAAGCTCAAACTTGCCAGGCCAAAGTGCTTCATTAGCGGTCACCGCCGTTTTGGCTCGCTGAAAATTGAACTTTTCCTTCACTTTTTTAGCATCGAGCCACCGATTGAGCCGGCGTGTCGTTCAGTGCAAGTGCATCACTGCCGGCACTGTGCCAGTGAGATAGGAGATGTGAAGAGTTCATTGGCATTCGCAACAAGTGCCCACTACCGCATCCTAGGCAATCGAAAGAGTGTGTGTGCTTGACTTGTGGCCCAAGTGCACGCACTTGAGTGCCGCCGATTGCACGCTGAATCGACAGGTCAGAATGAGCCAGAGGAATGAACTGAAATTGCACGATCCAGAGAAAGTGCATTGTAATGGCCGTTACAGTGTATCTGTGCTAATTACCGGTCAATCGTCAAAGAGTGTGCTCACTCCAGCCAGATGGCAATTCAGACGACGCTGGGGAAGGCATTGCACGACGGCGACAAATGTCTTCTGTCAATTGGACCTGTCAACGAGCAAACGAGCGAACGCAAGTAGTCGATTGCACGACAGGGCAAAGGATAGCAGACGAAAGGCAGGCAGGGGCGCCTGAGTGAGGTGACTGTCAGCAAAATGCAAATGACCTGGCCAGCGGATACCTCACTGCAAACGTGAACGTGATTGCTAATTGGCAGTAGCACGGCAAATAAGTTCGTTTATTTGCAACAAGTTCCCTTCCGATCAACATCAATTGACGGTAATCAACGGCAAAAAGACAATGCCTGATCACTGCTGAGCAGGCAATACTGTCTGCACAATTGTCATCACCAATGGAGAGGCGCCCTTTTGTCTGGTCCACTGGGGAAGAGGCGTCCCACTGATTGCCCCGAAGATTGCTCCTGTCCACACATGCTAGTAGCGCATTAGGCCATTGGCACTCTATTATAGAGACTCTATACAAGAAAGTACACCAAAGTAAACACTAACGCAGAGACGACCATTATCTGTTACACAATTATGCAAACGGCACAGCAGCAGCAGCGACGTGCGCCGGCAAATGAGGAAAATGTGACAAATAGTTGGTCGTTCTTTCGCCTCTAATAAATTTAATTACACACAAAAACACAACAATAAACGAGTTCACTTTCGATGGCTTTTTTGAAAGCTTTCTTTACACCCATTCAAAGAGCGCCATCGTTGCCGGGAAAGCCCGTCCGCCATCCGCCGACCACCGGCGAATGCGGAATTGTTCCGCCAGTCTGGGAAACTTAACAGTTTTTACTGGCGACTTTTCGGATGACCACCACACAAAGGAAACTCTAATTGCCAAATTGATAGGTAATTGAAGATGACGGAACAGAAAGGCCTGAATCACTCTAAAAATAGCGATCAACACCGGCCAAATTGATTCTAATTGCAATGTTGTTCGCTGTTGTTGTCCGCATCGTCCAGTGAAGCGCCGTATTAATGACCGCTATTTCGGCCAGTGGCAATGGCTGTTTGTGGCCAAATTAGCAAGAGATGCTCTAAAAATAACATGAATCAATATTAAATTCGCTTAATTATAATTCACAGAGATGCGTCGTCAGAGTGTTGCTGCTGATGCTGCGGCTGCTGCTGAGGTAATGCTCAGACTTTTCTACTCATTTCCACTGTCCCAGTGAGGAGATCAGAAGTTGAAAGAAGAAAGAGTGGAAAAAGATGCTACGCGATGGCAAAGACGGTCATCCGACAGTCGACTAATGGCTAATGGCAGGATCATCGGACAAGTCCGTCCGGCAGCCTGCTGAGAGCTGATGCGGCTGCTTTCAATTAGTAATGTGCTGAGGTGATGCGACGGCTCGGTGCAGAGCACTATTTATAGCCAAGCAGCTCTCCGTGCGTCCTTAATGCGTCCTAATCAAATCGAGTAATAGTCAATCGATATACTGTGCACGGCCGTTTCAGAGAACGTTAGCCCTAGTTTGGGCACCTCGCCAGAGAGGCTAACCTGCTGCCACAAGTTGGCCAGTGCGGTGTACTTTTAGTCCTGTGCCATTGAAGATGATCGCTCAGCTTAGGAGAGATAATAGAAATCCAATGCACAACACTTTTCACTGGTAGTGAAAGAGAAATGTGCAAATGCTCAGTAGGGCATTTGCACCGGCCTCCTCGGCATGCATACACAAACACACGCAGACAGACTAATTTGCCCTTCTTTGTTCGTAAGTGGACCGAACTAGAAGCTAATTTCACTTTTGTACCTCGTTTGTGCATTTTGGCAGTCCGCTTAGCAGCAGCAGCAGTGAGATCAGTGCAACTGCCAATAATGGAACTTCAAAAGTAATTGCGCTCATTAGCATCGTCGACACTCAGCACAGAAGATGGTCACAGAGGGGAGTTAAATATAGCAACGGACCAGTCATTACTGCACAACGGTAGCAGTCATTTGATCTATTGCCCGAGTCCGACTGGGTGACTGTCAATGTGACTGCGACTGCCAATGGATGAATAGCGGTGGCGGACGTCTCCCTTCACTGGTCCACTACTGTCCCCCTGGGCGGTGAAGAGGAGCACCACCAGCTACTGCTTCGGTCATTGCAATGCAAATACTGACAAGTGATCGACAAGTGCATTATTGCTCATGCAAATCTCGATAACCTCTGCAGCCAACTCTTTTTGGCCAAACACAGAATCGACAGCACCTCAAATACTTGGCACGTGAAACACCAAAAACCTGACTTGATAAAGCTGCATTCTCTCGGCGGAGTAACCCAATCGTCCCAGTCTGATCCTCAGCAGCAGCAGCACCGAGTGGTTGGCCATCGACCCAAGGAGTGCTGTAATTAAATCAGGTCAAGTGAAGTGGGACATCAGTTTGAGGCAGTCCTCCGAGCCGAGTGCTGCTTTAGATTTACTCATTTAGCACTATCACTTGTTTGATTTTTCGCTACGCTATAATTATTGGCCCGCCTCGTGTAGCGGGCTGGTTTATAAATAAATAACAATATATCAAATATTTAAATCTGCAATCGAGATGAAAGCTAAAAATATTTGCCTTTCACCTCAATTGCCGATTCACTAAACTAAGTGGTCACTCGTCGACTAGAGGATGGACAAATAGGAGCGTCAAAGTGATGCATTGAAAGCACTTGTTCACTTGAAATCACAACCACCACCACCATTAACAACACTAACACTGCGCAAAATATTGTAAATCAACAGTGCGCCATTGCGAAATAAAGGTCAAAAGGTCTATAACTGGCTGAGAAGGTGACTACTACTTCTACAGCTAGTAGATGACCCAGAAGACATTGATTGCTGACAACTGTCAGCGGCAGTGAGGCAAGTGGCGGCAAAGCACTTTCCATGTTTATGCGCCTTCTCTGCTTTCGATCGAACTGGTCAGAACCGCTTGTCTGCTGGCCACAGTGTGTGAGGGTACGGGAGATGTACATCGATCGATCTGGCAATGGTGCTCCTTCGCCAGCCACTGTTCAGTGGCACACCAATGTACAAGCACTATTTGAACAGTATCAGTCAGTGAGTGAGCCTGATGCAGACTACTCAAGATGAGCCTCAACCTTGACTGCAGGCGATGTGTGCGCGATGTACGAACAGATGCAACAGCGCGAACTTATCGATAATGGACAGTGACAGTGACTGGTCTGTGCATCAGTGATTACGGCTAATCGCCTCGCCATCGGATTGACGTCCTTTCGCACATACAATCGGACCAGCGGTGGAACTACTTCATTAAGTACTGTCGCCACTGATCACAAGCCACTTCAAGTGCCGCCAGGAACATGTTACTGAAACACCTCATCCGCCGACTTCCCACCTCATTCAGTGCTGCCAACAACAGCACCTACCGACTTTCAACGGTAGCACATGTAAACAATGTGAAGAATAAAATTGAAGAGAAACGCAAGAGTGCCCTTCTCGGTGGCGGCGTGAAGCGAATTGAGCAACAACATGCCAAGGTATGATGCAGGTGTAATGAACTTCTTTGAATGTATTCCTCAATGTGCTCCCGAATTCTATCACAGGGAAAGTTGACATCACGGGAGAGAATTGACCTGTTGCTCGACCCGGGAAGTTTTGTCGAGTACGACATGTTCGTTGAGCACACATGCAATGACTTTGGAATTGATAAACAGAAGGTAAACTTGGATGTTGAATGCAGTATACGAACTTACCAACATTGCTCACAAAGTTCACTGGTGACAGCGTTATCACAGGCCACGGTTTCATTCATGGGCGCAAAGCGTTTGTCTTTAGTCAAGATTTTACCGTCTTTGGTGGAAGTCTCTCCAGTGCTCACGCTAAAAAGATATGCAAGGTAACTTCTTCTTCTTTCAGACTCTTTTGCAGGCCACTAATAAACGTGATTTTAGATCATGGATGCAGCCATGGCCGTGGGAGCACCCGTTATTGGTCTGAATGACTCTGGTGGAGCTCGAANTCAGACTCTTTTGCCGGCTACTAATAAACGTGATTTTAGATCATGGATGCAGCCATGGCCGTGGGAGCACCCGTTATTGGTCTGAATGACTCTGGTGGAGCTCGAATTCAAGAGGGCGTCGACTCCCTGGCCGGTTATGCGGACATCTTCTTGAGGAACGTTCAGTCTTCAGGAGTTGTGCCTCAAATTTCCGTCATCATGGGCCCCTGTGCTGGAGGAGCTGTCTACTCTCCTGCCATAACAGACTTTATCTTCATGGTGAAGGACACCTCGTACCTCTTCATCACTGGGCCAGACGTCGTAAAGGTCACTATTTAAGCAATATAAGCAGCAAAGAAGTTTCATACTAAAAACTGTTTTCCAATCTGCAGGCAGTCACCAATGAAGATGTCACCCAGGAAGAGCTTGGTGGTGCAAAGACTCATACGAGCGTGTCAGGTGTCGCCCATCGAGCTTATGAAAATGACGTGGATATGCTGCTGCAGCTGCGAAGATTCTATGACTTTCTGCCGCTTTCCAACAAAGAAGCAGCTCCCATTCGCCAGTGCGATGACGCTTGGGACAGACAGGTGCACAGCCTGGACACTGTCATTCCATTAGAGAGCTCCACTCCGTACAACATGACTGATGTTGTTCTAGAGGTAACAGGGTGCTCACTTTGGATGCACGACAAACCGCCTCTTAACCGATGAAAAACTCTTTGCAGATAATTGACGAACGAGATTTTTTCGAAGTTATGCCCGATTTTGCCAAAAACTTGATTGTCGGCTTTGCACGAATGAATGGTGAAACTGTTGGAATTGTTGGAAATAATCCAAAATATGCTGCCGGTAAGAATAAGTCAATCTTTTCACTGTCAGTATCACTAATCCCATCTGTGTGAAGGTTGCTTGGACATAAACTCCTCTGTAAAAGGTGCCCGCTTCGTCCGTTTCTGTGATGCCTTCAACATTCCGATCATTACTTTTGTTGATGTACCAGGTAAAATGACAGACAAAGTTGCCGGCAGGTTAATCATTGTTCTTTTGCGACAGGCTTTCTTCCTGGAACTGCTCAAGAGTACGGTGGAATCATTCGTCACGGAGCCAAGCTGTTGTACGCTTTTGCAGAGGCAACAGTGCCAAAAATAACGGTGATCACTCGCAAAGCTTATGGTGGTGCCTATGATGTGATGAGCTCGAAGCACTTGAAAGCCGATGTTAATTATGCTTGGCCGACGGCGGAAGTCGCCGTAATGGGTGCGAAAGGTGCAGTCTCTATTCTCTACAGAGGAAAGGAAAACACAGCAAAGTATGAGCAAGAGTACATGGATAAGTTTGGCAATCCGTTTCCGGTGGCTGTGAGGGGCTTCATCGATGATATCATTGAGCCTCATACCACGCGAATGCGAATCTGCAGAGATTTGTACCTTCTACGAAACAAGAAAACGATCAACCCACCAAAGAAACATGGCAATATTCCTTTGTAGGTGCTTGTTGTAAAGATGCTTAATGAACAATAAAATTCCTTTGCTGAAATGTATTTATGAGTATGCTTGCATTAACAATCTCGGTTTACTGGTAGTACAGTTCCAGGTTCATTCCGTCGTGAATTTCGTAGTCCTCCAGGGTGATGTGATCCTTGTAGATGGTGTACCACTTCTTAAGGACAATCTTCTCCCAGTGAGTTCCCGTCTGAGCGGCAATCAGTTTTTTTAAGTCACCAATAGTGTCATCTGCAAATGTAAGTTTTAATTTTAGCGGTTTTCATAAAGTACAAATGAAATTGATAACCTACCAGGGTTGCATTTGATGCGCACTTTCTTGCCAAGCCGGTCGTTGCATGTAATTTCAATCATGGTCGTTGTCAATAAATATTACAGCAATAGATGAGAAATCGGCAGATTAAAATAAAGATAGGCTTCCAGTCGTTTCAGGAATGATCACTTCAACTTGGCACTATTTTTGTTTTGGGCCACACAAGTTTTGTCAAACAACACGGGCAACTATTTCAGTGCCTCCAAACCAAAGTCTGTTGATCTAGCCCGAACTTCACATGCGCCAAAAGTGTGTCCACATCAGAGAATGAAAACAAACCAGATTGTGTGCACTGATTTATGCAACAGTGACTGTTGAACAGTTTTTGGCGAAACCAATCTTCAAACAACACCGGAGTGATGTGTTGTCATTAAATTAAATGATCCTCATCACTGCCACATTATTTATTTGTTTCTTCTGCTCTAGAATCGTCCGGCTTCAAAATGGAGCGCAAAATCAGAAAACGTCGGCCGGAAAAGCAACAGCTCACAGCTTCTCAGCCGGATTATCAAAATGCATTGCCTCAGCAGTTTTCTTTTTTCAACTTTAATAGTCTTATTGGACTTTTGAGCTTATTTTTTCTTTGTGCTTTTGCCGTATTTTGTTTGACCAGCTTTCTCCCAGACAATGCATTTTTGCCGTTTGAAAAATCGTTTCCCATGGACAGCTTACTGGGCAAGCACTACTGGAGTTCGCTTCTAAGTGGCCACTACTTTGGTTTGCGATCTTCATCGCCGAACTCTCCAATTGTCAGCATGATGTGGTTTCGAAACCATTTTGACCCACAACATGGGTTTCAAATTCGTCACTGGTGCAACCAGGATGATAGACTGGAAAAGTTCTTTTGGAATTACAATGATTTGTCCTTCGGCCACCAGACAATACAGGACAAAAATTTGCAAATCAACACCACCTTTATCAAGCTTAGTCCTGGAACTATCAAAGCTCGTTTCAACATTTCCGATAGCTCAAATTTAACAAGTTTAGCGAAATTTAAGTTAAACTCGCTTATTTTGTACTCAGCCATTGACAACTCTGAGGACAGCATTGAAATGATCAACTCAACTGAGCACTCTGAAAATGAAGCATTTACACTTCGAGTCGGCAGTAAGACAGCAGGAAATTTCTTTTTTCATGTCCGAGTTATTGATGGGCATTTGTTCACGAGCAGCCATTTGACGACAAACAGCACTTTAGACCAGCTGAAGGAAACGGTCACAAAGAATATGTACATTCACCCCAAATCGAAACCGAATGAGCGGATATTTGTCATTGCGAATGAAGTTGCAAGTGGCTACAAGTACAATTTTGCCGCTTGCCAACTGATTTTCAGGAAACATTTGGAAGTGGAAATTGAGCTAGTTTTTTATGATGCTGATGAAAACCCACCAAAAAATAGCACTTATAAAGAAAAGCTTGCCCAGCATATAAGCAAATTTGATTTGGCTTTTGAAGAGAAGTTTCCTTTGCGTTTGAAAAACTTCTCAGATGATATGATCTTATTTGCACGCGCCGTTTTAAGTAACACTATTGGCGGAGTTAGCTACTTCAACGGCTATTCGCTGGTTAAATCAAAACGCTCACCGGATGCAAAACCGTACGGGCCATTGCAGTTGCTGACTGCAGTTCCTTCAAGGGCATTCTTTCCCCGTGGATTTCTCTGGGACGAAGGATTTCACCAGCTGTTGCTAAGTGCATGGGACTCGGAACTGTCGAAGACCATCATTAAGAGTTGGCTTGGTCTCATGAACAGAGATGGCTGGATTCCTCGAGAGGTTGTCCTGGGCAAAGAGGCAATGGCCCGAGTGCCGGCCGAGTTTCTCGTACAGGATAGCACTTTTGCCAATCCTCCTGCGCTCTTTTTAGCAATTGAAAATTTAATTGACCAGAATAAGGCTGACAAAGAATGGCTAGGCAAAATGTTCCCTCGACTGGAGAGCTGGTTCAACTGGTTCAACAGCACGCAAAATGGCAAGTTTCCACTTTCCTTCAGGTGGAGAGGCAGAAATGAAACGACCGATCGCGAGTTGAACCCCAAAACATTGACTTCAGGTTTAGACGACTTTCCACGAGCCAGTCACCCTAATGAAGATGAAATTCATCTTGATCTTCGCTGTTGGATGGCTTTGGCAGCTCGGGTCATGACAAAGATTTGTCAGGCTCTTTCAATCAACGGCGACCTGTACAGCTCATTCTATGATCTTCTCCGTGATAACACACTTCTAGACCTGCACTGGTCACAGAGGGACAATATGTACTGCGATAAAGGTCTGCATACGGATGATTTGAAAATGACCTCCATCATGCGTAATGGTGAGGAGCAGTTGGTGAGGAAAGTGTACGGCAATCCTCAGTATCAATGCATTGCTCACTTTGGATACGTCAACCTGTTTCCGCTCATCATGGTTCTCCTCGAGCCGAGTAACCCTAAACTGGAGATCATCTTGAAGCGAATGGAAGACCCGGCAGAGCTGTGGACGCCCTATGGACTTCGTTCTCTTTCCAAGAACAGCTTTTACTATGACAAGTACAACACTCGCTGGGATGGCCCTTACTGGCGGGGGCCCGTCTGGATACCGATCAACTTTTTGGTGCTCAAAGGACTGAACCACTACCGCACAGTGGATGGCCCTTACCAGGCTAAAGCGGAGAGCATTTATGGTCGTCTGCGAGAGAACCTCATTCGAAATGTCTTCACCGAGTACAAACGCACCAACTACGTCTGGGAGCACTACAATGACAAAACTGGCCATGGTCAGGGCACCTTTCCCATGACAGGGTGGACGGCTTTGATTGTCCGAATTATGGGCGAAAACTACTAGTTCTCCAGTGGACATGTACAGTTTTTTAATTGCTAATAAAGCTCTATGAGTAATATATAACTTAATAACCAAACAAAAACGCAAATTGGATCCTAATCATCCATATAAATACAAAGAGCCTGCACTGAAGCGTGATCCACTGGAGCGTTTGTAAATAGAGCGCCTACAAACGCCTTGGTGCCCCATTTGCTGTGTGAAATCACCTTGCAACATCCGAGGTCTTCAATTTCAAAGCCGAATTTGCGGTATCTCTCGTCAGTTTCAAAGAACGTGGAAGGTGTGTATTCGCCCTGAAAAGAAAACATAAATTGTATTTTGGCTGACAAAACAGAAAGGGAAAAATACGTACGTGATACGCTCTTCCAGAGGCGGGATCAATAAAGTCGGCCCAGAAACCTTGGCTTTTAAGATAAGAACACATTCGATCAGCAGTGAAAAGAAATTTTTCCATCAACTCATCTCTCTCGGCGATAACTTCACTAGACCAGGCGGCCATGTCATTTTGCGACTTATGAGTGATGGTCAGCACAGTCAGGCCATTAATTAGATTTGCCGTGTTACTCGGAAACAGCTCCTGAAAGTCTTTCACAAGAAGAATGGGGCATTCAAAGGCATCACACTGCAGAATGGCTCGATCATCTGCAAGGAACATGTCTGTGTTGGGCATGGGCTTGTCTTCATTGAGGTTTTTCAAAAGCTCTTCATTAGTCAGCGCAGTACTTTTCAGTGGTTGAAGCTGCTGCGGATGTTGCTGTGTCTGTTGCTGTTGCTGCTGTTGCTGCTCTTGGTTCATCTTTTCTAGCTTCTTCAGCCAAGTGTTATTCACAAAGATGCCCACATTCCCAGGCAATCTGAAGCGGGTGTCCTTTAGTTCTAGAAGATCAATTTCGCGTCCTGTTTGAGCATTGCTGGTGTCCATGATCCTGCTGGTGTTTGAGGTGGCTGTAAAGGAGACAAAGTTTTTGGGGATGTTGGTGCTACATTGGCGAAGGGCGGAGAGCAGTGATCGGTCGGCCAGCTTCTGAGGGGACAAAACTAGGCGAAACATATCGGCCAAATATGTAAATATTGAGCACAAAATCAGCAAGTTGTTGGCGTTCTGAAGAGTGAGTAAACAAGCAAACCCGAGCTGCGTAAGACACGACTTATTCACAGATGGGGTTCAGTTTCAGATATTATCTTATCGGTTTTCTTGCGCCTAGAGTGTCCCAATTTGATGAAGACAATTGTTTGGGTGTATCCTCACTCCTTGCTTGATCTTCGCCAAATGGCCAAGGGTAGCAGAGCTCCAAAACTAGAGGAAAAATTGGCAATCACAATAAGTGGATCAAAATAGCTGGATAGAGAGTCTCTAATCAAGAGACGCTTCTCCAAGACGTTCAGTGAAAGTCTTCAGTTGTCACCTCATCGAGCAAGTGTAGCGATCTGTCGTGGCCACTTTTGCAGTCACTATCCGCATCATCACCTGCATCACCACCACCACCACCAAGGGGCACGTGATTCGGCGCCTGACCAGAGCTCGTACAGAGTGTATCTTTGATCTCCTTATCAGAGCCACAGTCCCTTCTGCCTTCTCATGGCAGCCTTTTACAACGGGCCTCCCAATGGAGTGCCTTATTTTCCGCAGATTCCATCGCCAATAGTTCGCCCTCCCATCTCGGCGATTCCCTTTGGGCTGCAGGCCCTCTACGATCGGTGTGCCTTTGTGTACCCCAACCAACCTAATCCACTGCAAGTGACAGCCGTCGTTAAATACTGGTAAGGCATTTTCTGATTGACCACCTTATAGAAGCAACAAGTGATTTTCCTCACGCACATCGTTTTCCCCTTATTCTTACTCTCTTACTTCAGGCTCGGAGGACCTGATCCTCTAGATTACATTTCAATGTACCTAAATGAAGGAGATCCAGAAAACGGCATTGCTCCTCACTGGCACTACGTCAGCTTTGGACTGAGCGACCTGCATGGCGACGGCCGCGTTCACCCGTACGGTTTCTTTTCTTATTTGTCTGTTCAAAAACAGATTTTTATATTACTCTTCTGTTTTATAAACACAGAATCACAGATGCCACTAACCCAAGTGGCTTTGGTTTTGAGTTGACATTTCGCCTTAAAAAAGAAGAAAGTGAACAAAATCCGCCCACATGGCCAGCTGCTGTAATGCAAGCATTGGCAAAATATGTCTTCCAAACTGGAAACATACTCTGCTCAGGTGACCATGTTTCATGGTGAGTTTAGTTTAGTTCACTTATTTTACCATTGTCACTGAACTGACATTTGAATCTACGCCCAATCAAACCTGTCAGGCACTGCCCACTGGACAATAGTGAATCTCGCATTCAACACATGCTCATGACAGAAGATCCTCAGCTGGGAACTACCCCGACACCTTTCGGACCAGTCACATTCATTCANCCATTTGAATCTACGCCCAATCAAACCTGTCAGGCACTGCCCACTGGACAATAGCGAATCTCGCATTCAACACATGCTCATGACAGAAGATCCTCAGCTGGGAACTACCCCGACACCTTTCGGACCAGTCACATTCATTCAGATTGTGGGCGTGTGTCTCGAAGAACTGCAAAGCGCTCAGCAGTGGAACGGACTAGGCGTAATTGACCTGATCAAATCAGTGCCGACCGCAGGCGGCCCCTGGCTGATCACTGATATGCGTCGCGGTGAAACCATCTTTGAGATTGATCCCGAAATGAAGGAGGCAGTCGATGATGGCATTGCCACAGAAGGGTCCAACTTGAGCGGAGTCAGTGCTCGATGTTCGTACTCAAAGTATGAAGCCTCTACCAGTAGCGACCAAGAGGAAGACGAAGAAGTGGAGCAGAAAGAGTCAAAGGCAAAGAAGGAGAAGTGTCCCTCTTCTAGTAATCAGTCGACTGATGCGGCTC